TGGCCCAACTTCTAAGCACTTCCTTCCAAAATTGGTTAGTTACCCTTTCACCAAGCTGTTTGACGAAAGCACTTCCTTTGTCCCACACACAGTTGGTCTCGCTTAAAGAAAGTACGTGGTCAGCAATATACGTCCAAGGGTGTGTAGTTGTAAAATATCGCTTAACCCACGCTATTTTCAAGGACACTATAAACATTCTAGTATTAGTCATGCTTTGGCCACCGAAAGCAAGTGGTTGCATCAGTGCTTCTCGTTTGATTCTGCTACGTTTTCCATTCCAGATAAATTTAAACATCAAGCTATCTATACGTGTGATCATTTCATCACTTGGTTGAGGCAGCGATGTCAAGCAGTACGTTAATTGTGAAAGCGCAAGTGCTTTCAAAACTGTTATTTTCCCTATTATCGTCAAGTTTCTTTTTTGCCATTCGTGAAGCAGTTTTTCCATTTTATCTATTTTCGCCTCGTAATTTGCATTTAACACGTCAGTTAATGCGTTACTAAATACTACACCGAGAAGTTTAATCGTATTGACCACTCTCAATGGAATTTCGTCATATACAAAGGTGTTTGAGCTCGTTTTCCCGATCCTCATCGCAGACGTTTTTTCTATATTTGGTTTTAATCCTGAAAACTTGGCAAAGGTGCCAAGTTCGGCAAAGAGCTGTCTCAGTGAGTTGGGATCGCCGTCTAGCAGACAGAGAACGTCGTCTGCGTAAGCTGACAGTTTAATTTCGGTCAGACCTATTTTAATACCCTTAACCCGCGCCCCACTGGGGGGGGGCTATTTATAGCCCCCCCTCCCGTTTTTCTGCAATAACTTCCAAACCGCTTGACGTATCGACGCCAAACTTTCAGTACCTTTGGCTGCATCAATTTGACACCTTGTGTTAAAATTTGAACTTCGTACCTACTATAGGTCGGCCGGAAATGACGTCAGAGTGACGTCATGTTCGACCGATTTCGACGCAAAACATTGAACCACGGCAATCGCTCCCAAGAGCTCAGTTTTTAAGCTAGATCCAATTTCTTTGCATGAGAGGACTCAGAATAGACTGCGCTATCAAACTGCTATCTCGGATTTTCGAAATTTTGAAAATTTCGAAAATTTTATATAATAAAGCTTAAAATTTATATTTTTACATTTTTTTCAGAAATTTTTTGACTTTTCGAAAAAACCGGAATATATGTGATAGAACGCATTATTATGACTAACTCTAGCAAGTTTTAGCTAAATATCTTCAAAAATGGCCAAGCTATACGCATTATTGCAAAAAATTAACAATTATTAGTTTTTCAAATCAATTTTTCAGCACGAATTTGACATCGTACGCCAATATAAATAGCACCATCGTGTTCCTGAGCTCAAACTGCATCCAATAGACACCTTTTTTGTTGAAAAATTTTAACTTCAAAATTTGACCTTTTTTGACCTGAAAGTGACCTGACCTGAGCTAAATTTGACTCAAAATGACCTCAAATGACAAAGACGACATCAAATTCGAAATGTTTGGCCTAAATGGACCATAAAACATGTGTCACGTGACCGACGGATGATATAATATTTTCGTGACCTGTGATGACCTGACCTTGACCTGAAAATCAAAGTACAAGTTTGGTACCCTTAGAGTATCTAGAGCATCTGTTCACGAGTGTGTGAACCAAAAATGAGCCTGATCTGACTTGTAAGACGGCGGCCAGAGCCCAAAACGTGAAGAAACCAAAATGCTAATAATTTTTACTTTGACCTGACCTGTGACGTCATCGGTGACCTCGAGGTCAATGAAATTAGGTTTCGCTCGACAATTTTTCCGGGGCTATCAGACGCCGTTTGAATTTTGACGATCGGCCCAGTAGTTTCGGAGTTAGGAGGGGGGGCTATGAATAGCCCCCCCCCAGTAGGGCGTGATATACGCAGACCCCAGTGGGGCGCGGGTTAATATTTTGATTTCCTCGAATTCTATCCAGCAAATGTTCCAAGGCAATTATAAATAGGTAACCACTAATGGAGTCCCCTTGCCTTGCCGATCTGCTCAAAACAATCGGTTTCGAAATATGTCCATTATAGGTTAGACGAGAGAACGATTCGTTGTACAAAGTGCAAAACCATTGTATAACGCTTTGGGGGAAACCACGAGCTACTAGAGACGCTTTAATCCAATGCCATTCAACAGCGTTAAACGCATTGTCCATGTCAAGTGATACCATTAATCCTTGCGAGCCAGTTTCATTTACGCTGTGTATTACATCATATGCAAGTCGGATAGCGCTTCCAATATATCTCCCTGGAACATATCCAGTCTGCTCTGGTCCTATAACTGATGTTAACACTCTTTTAATACGCCGTGCAATAGTAGCCGAAATAATTTTGTAACTGGTATTTAATAGAGTTATCGGCCGATACCCTTTAACCTCATTTTTTGGTTTTCCAGTTTTTGGAATGAGGATCAGAACTCCTTCTCTCAACGTTGGTGGGAGTTTCTGATTTTTAAAACTTTCATGACACATATTAAGAAAACAGTACTTAATGTATGGCCACATAATTTTATAAAATTCAGGTTGAAACCCGGAGCTTCCGGGGGACTTGTTTCCTTTTAATAACCTTAACGTCTTCTCTAACTCCTCCAGTTCTATTGGACGTTCAAGAAGCTCTTTCTCTTGATCTGACAAAACTCTAGTAACTCTCTCTTCGAGGTAAGTATCGGTGTTGAGCTCTACTTCCTCTCTTTGACGAAATACTTCCTGATAGTATTCAACTAGACAATTCATGACATCTTCTTGCTTGTAAATAGCCTTGTCTTCTACCTTCAGGCAGGGAATTAACCTACTTGTGTAATTTCGTTTCTCTAAGCCAAAAAAGTAGCCACTGTTTCGCTCACCCTGTTCATACCACTTACATCTAGAACGAATAATGATGCCTTCCACCTTTTCGTTACGTAACTCTACAAGCTCCGTTTTCTTTGCATCTAACTGTTGCCGCTTAAGTTCATTTTGTGGATCGTGACCAAACTCATTCTCCAATCTGCTGATCCCACTTATCAATTCTATTTCATATCTCCTTTTACATTGATTCCGCGCAATAGCATACGATATAGTTCGAGTTCGTAGCTGAAGTACAAGCGTTTCCCAAAGAAGTGAAAAGGATATGTTAAATTGTACTAACTTGCCAAGGTCTTCCCGCACAAACTGCCTGGTGTATATTGGAAGCGCGTGTGTTTCGAGTGTGTCATGTACCGTTTCTCTCATTAACGACAAATACTCATCATCCTTGAGCAAGGTCAAATTGAATTTGAACCATCCTTTTCCTTTTCGATGATCATTCAGCGTAAATTCTGCGCATACCGCGCTGTGATCAGTGCGGTATCCCGATACAATTTCCGCCCGCTGCATTCTCCCCAATATGCTCGTTGAAACCATAATATAGTCTAAGCGAGCTTGTTTAACACTTGGGTTTAATTTCCTCCATGTAAATTTACTAGTGTCACGATTCAATTCCCTGAAAGAGTCCACTAATTCGTAACTCATCATGAGGTGTTTCAGCTCCTTCCTCGCTCTTGGGTTATTTTGTTTTTCGTAATTGTGGGTATCTAACGTTTGATCGAGAGCGATATTAAAATCTCCGCACATGATTATTGGCAGGGACTCATCATTTTTTGTAAAGTCGTAAATCATCGTTGCTAATTTTTTGAAAAATGTTGGATTGTCTTCGTTTGGACCGTATATCGATATAAGTAGCACCTCAAAGGTTTTGTTAATTATTGCTTTAACAAGAATCAAATTACCAATTTCATCTTGTTTTGTTGCCAGTACGTCAAACTGAATCTTTTTATTGGACAAAATTGCAACCCCTCTCGCGTTATTAGTACCTGACGAGATATATATTTCTTTTCCCCAGCTACTCCTGAAATACGTTCGTTTTTGCTCATTGCAGTGAATGTCTTGCAAGAAGAACAGATCGGCATCGGTACCCTTTAGATAATTAAACACGTCTCTCCTTTTCTTATACTGGCCAAGACCACGGCAGTTCATTGAAAACACCTTAAGAGAAGCCATCTAAAACGCCGTTTGTGAAAACGGACGCGCAGCGACTCGCACCCGCACATTGCACCGATGGCAGGCTGTCAGATGTGAACAAAGAGCTGAATTGCGAACTTCTCAATACAACAGTACTATACCACTGTCCAGGGGCGTGCTGTGTTGTGCGACATATTCTATGCACTCTTACCATCATACAACTACTTCCGGCACGCAGTCGCACCGGCATAGCTCACGGGGCGCGGCATACCGGCCCGACCGCAGCGGCCAAAACTAACAGATTTGTCCAGAAAAAGCGGTGACATTTTAACACCTGTCTGCTATGTTTCCAAAAACTCACAAACTCGAAAACAAGCCGATACTTGTCCTATAAATAAAGAAACGAAAATAGATAAAGAACTGTGGTCTTCACTCGGGCACTGCATTTTTCGAAATCGCTGCAGCGAGGCTCTTATCTACACTTTTACTTCTCTCCAACTTTCAGACACCGTAAAAGGAAAACAAAACGGTACACAAAAAAAAAACACACACACACACATGACACAAACTTGGCACAAACCCGGAGGGATTCATCCACAGGTCAATCACACCAGAGTCCCTCCCTTGAGGCGTTAGCCGTCATTACGATGGGAGATGTTGAGACGCGTATTGACATCTGCCATAGAGTTGGCCTTGGAGCTGACTCCAAACTTTCGCTCCTTAAAGAAGACATCTCCTCCTCGACTAAACACCGTGTAAATACGACCTGCCTTCTTTAGCTCTACCAGCTTCAGATAGGCTTCCTGTCTTTTGTGACTCAGGGACTCGTTCACAAATAATTGAAGTCTGGGGCGGTCACCGCGAGGGATTCTACTATCATAAATACGCTGACGGACTGAGGAGGGACCACCCCGGGTGAAACGACAAACGATCTTGCTGCCGCCTGCAGACATCCGGTGGGCGTGGTCAATGTCCTCCCTTCTCACCTGAATCCCGAGGTTGTTTTTAATCACCTCTATCAAGACAGCCTCGATGTCCTCACTCTCAGCGCCAGCGGCGGGGCGGGAACCCGTCCCACCGGACGGTGCCGGGCCCGAGGCCGCGCCCCGCCGCCGGTCAGCTGACTCCTCTCCCGGCGAGGTCAAGGTCGCCTCGCTCCTCTCCGCTGCTGCCGCCCGCTCGGGCCGAGAGGCGGTCTCGGTGTCGGTGACGTCATCTGGAGTCGGAGCGACGTCACCCGGTCCGGGGCCACCGGCCGCGCCCGCTGACCCCGGCCGGCCGTCACAGCCGGGCACGTGACTCGGGGGCGCCCCGGGCGCCCGCGAGCGTCCGTCCGGTCGCCGGGGAATGGCCGGTCCGGAAAACACGAGAGTGTTCCGACGGGATCTCGCCTCTAACTCATCCACTTTCGCCAATAAGGCAACGATATCTTCGTCTCGTTCCTTTACTTTCACCCTCAGTGCTTCGCTTTCCTCATCCTTCTCTTCTACGTGCTTTTCCAGCTCCGAAAGTCTTTCCTCATAGCATTGCCACTTTGACTGGATTAAAGACGCCAAATTCGTAACTCTTTCTTCAATCAGACCTTTCAGCTCTGTTAATGACTCTTCTGAGCTTTTGCGAAACGATTCCATCTCCTCTCGGAACATGGTGCGTAGGGCGCGAAAATCTTCTCTCACGGGCGCGGGCGGTTGGGGCGGCGACTGAGTGTCAGCCACTCGCGGCCGCTTACCTGCCCCAGTTATAGCGTCCAAATTGCGCACCATTTCAGGCACTGAGGATTGCTTTCTGTTTTTCGCACCACTTCCACTGTTTCGCGACATGTTCGAGAATGCTGAGCCACCGCGCTGACTATGCCCTCGCTCGGCCGGGCCGGGTGCCCACACGCTCAGCACAGCGCCATGCCGCGGGGCGGGACCGGTCGCGCACACGTCCGCACCCCCAGGTGGCCGCGCCGGGACTGTGGCCGCGCCGGGACTGAAAACATGACATCTTGAAACGATCACCAATTCTACAGTTAACAAGCAATTTTAAAGTTCTTTATGTGGTTGTATAGAGAAAAAACGGCGCCACAAAACTGCTATCTCAGATTTTCGAAATTTTGGGATTTTGACCCCCAAAAATCAAAATATTGATTTTTTTAAAGAAAATTTCAAAAAATTTCCAAAAAATTTCGAAAACCGGAATATATGTGATAGTCCCTGCGCTCTACGATATACATACCAAATTTCAGATCGATACCTCTTTTTTTGGCCAAGTTATAGTGAAAAAACTGTTAAAAATTGATGACGTCAAATTTTTGAACTCAATTTTCAGCAATTCTAGACCTTGTAGCGCAAAACAGAGACCACCATTGAACTCCCCGTGACGAGCTGCATCGAATCGATACCCATTTTATGCAAAAATATCAACTTTGAAATTTGACCTAATTTGACCTGACCTTGACCTGACCTTGACCTGATCTTGACCAAAACGTGACTTCTGCCTGACCCACATAATCGCATTTGTCATGTAAAATGGACCATAAAACATGTATCACACGACACTTTCATATTGTGACCCCCCCCCCCCCTCCCCCCCAGTGACCTGACCTCTGTGACCTGACCTGGTATCAGTGACCTCAAATAGCAAAATATGTGTTTGAAGAACATTTCCCCATCGATGATTTTCAATGAAATGTATTTTACTCGATTTTACAACGCATTTCTTGAAATGCCTGTAAACGGTGAAAATTCGACCTTTGACCTGACCTGTGACGTCATCGGTTTGACCGAGGTCAATGAAATTGGGTCACAAGGTAGTTCCCCGTTGGGGCTATCCAACGCCGTTTACAGCTTGTCGCTATGTTGCGTGGTTCTCGAGATCTTAGGGGAGGCCAAAATGCCCCCCCCCCCCATCAGACCGCGTTGCTCGGCAGACCCCATCAGGGTGCGGGTTAAAACTTGCATAACCCGGTAGGCGGTGGGCCTCCCGGCCACCTTCCGCGCCGTGGGGGGGCATTTTTTTGCCCCCCCCCCCCCCGTATCTCCGAAACTACTAGACGGATCCGGAAAATTAAAACGGCGTTCGATAGCCCTGTCAAATTTCTTGAAGGAAACCAAATTTCATTGACCTCGGGGTCACCGATGACGTCACAGGTCAGGTCAAAGATAAAATGTTTCACCGTTCACGGGGCTTCTAGGGAAAGCGCTATAACAGCGAGTAAAACGCATTTTGTCGAAAATCAGCGATAGGGCGTCAGTTGTCTAGTACATATGTTGCTATTAGAGGTCACTGGTCATACCAGGTCAGGTCACAGGTCAGGTCACCAAAGGTCACCAAGGGTCACCACATGAACCCAACTTTACTAAGGTTGTGCGATGCATGTTTTATGTCCAGTTTTTCATTTCCAACTCAATGGTGTTGGTTATAGGACCATCAGGTACGGTTAACCCGCGCCGGGCCGGTGCTCTGAGATTCCGCGCCGGGCCGGGGGGGGGGTGTCTGAACACCCCCCTTCTAACTCGGCTCCTGGGCCACGTAGCGACACGCGGTAAGCGGCAATCGAAAGAACGTCCAAAATAAGGACGAAAACACAACGGTCATTTTTTGGGTCAGGTCAAAGGTCAGGTCACCAGAGGTCACCAAAGGTCAAATGTTCACTATTTCAACATTTTGGAAACTGCCAACGGCTATCTCGGGAACCGATAGAGCTACAGCGCCGCGGAAAAGCGCATTCGATAGCCCTTTTACAGACCTTTCTGAGTAATGTTCTCAGATTTGACCTCAGGTCAACGGTTTAGCCTCCAGAGGGCAAAAACTCCAAAAATAGCCGTTTTTACGAAAAACGTTTTTTCGGCAATAACTTTTGACTCAAAAGAGCCATGACATTACTTTTGCCACTATCGTGTTCCTCTCGTCGAGACGCGTCGAATGAACTATAATTTGACCTTGAAAGGTCAACTTGAAAATTTGACCTCAGGTCAAGGTCATGACCTGACCGGAAAAGGTCATGTTGCATATCAGTCGATCCGCAACGTCGAGCCGAACACATCTAAGGCGTTTTCAGCGCTCTAGCACGTCTCTATCAGAAGTTATTAGCGAAAAACTGTTAGATTCTGTTCGTGACCTGAGATGACCTCGGGAACATAACGAGGGGTCACAGTTGCCATTTTCCGGTTCAGTGTGTCCATTTTATCTACATCTCGATGTTTGAGAGTGTCTAGAATAGCGTTCGTGCAAAACAGGCGCTTTTCAATTTTCTCCCATCGACTTATAATGGAGAGGTCGCAAAATTGACCTGACCTTAGGTCACCGATATCAAAATTCCGAGAGATACATTTTATAGATAATGTTGCTCTAATCAATCGCTGAAAGTTTCAAGGCAATCAATCGATCAGTGTAGCTACCCAGTAAACATGCCGACGTCGGCCCGACGTCGGCCGACGTCGGGGTGACGTCGGCAACTCGGCATCGGCATGCCGACGTCGGCCCGACGTCGGTCCAACCTCGGCACGACGTCGGCTGGATGTCGGATATGCCCGCATGTTCCGACGTCCAGCCGAGGTCCAGCCGACGTCGGGCCGACGTCGGACCGAGATCAATTGCTGAGGTCCAGCCGACGTCGGGCCGACGTCGGGGCGACGTCGGACCGACATCGGCCGCTGTTTTGACCGTTAAAATAATATAAAATACATGTTTCATGTTTCATAAAGAGCTTCTGTATTCAAAATATCCTCAGGAAACTCAAATCTTCCTCCACGCCGCAACCCCCTGATCCGGACTGGACGGGAAACTTTATCCCATTTGGGATTGCCCGTAAGCCGAGCTCGCCCGTAGCCGGGTGCGGTGAGTGCTTGGGGGCTGCTCGGCCTATCCTTTGGTCTGGCTCAGCCCCGACAACTCACCAGGGCCGGGCCGCGAGTTACCTAAGTGTGGAACTACAAGTCGATTCTAGGGCTCTGATTGGTGACTTTGGTCGGGGGATGACGCTTATAGCATGACGTCACTCGCGTACTTGGCCAGACCAACGGCGCGGCGCAGGCGCGCCGAGCCAACCCAGAGGCTCTCAAACTCAATTGTACAGATCCTGCGCATTGAATGGCGAAACTTCGGCGAGTTCGCTTGAGTTTGAAAGCCCCTGCCAGAGAACTGGAGACGGCCGGAGTATTTGCTGGACAGTGGGCAGCGCAGATGGCGATTGACGGTGCCAAAAAGATGATAGGGAAAAAGGGGTTGAGACTTGAGCAGTGAATTATAAGCCTGTTGCATAGCTGAGTGGTAAATTGTAAAATACTTAAGGTGTAAGGAGATGCAGTGTAGTTTAGCCGACTCAGGGGAATTCTGCCGAGTTATGTAAGGCGGAAGGGTCGCAACTCGCAAGTCGTTTGTTTACATGATTGCCTGATTAAAATGTAAAGCGTACCTAATGTTTAGTTGATAATACAGCGAGGTTGGGCATCTGCTCAATCCATTTCTTCTCTGCAATAGTGCACTCGCCACTGTAATTTATTGTAAGAGGCACTGGGCTGCGCCGCCTGTTAATTATTCCGAAACCACCAGTGAATTGTTACAGTCACTCCGACAACAATACGAATCGTTCAGTCGTGCGCTGGGGGTCCGCCAAGTTTGAGTGTGCTGCAGAATGCAGACTGGACCGCCGAGAATATAACACTTCCGTCTCCCTGGGCGAGCGGCGCATTGGAGCCGAAGGAAACTGCTTCAGTTTTTTTGTGGGGAAGATACCCATGTTTGAAAATTATGTTCTGGAATGATGCGATAAGGAAAAGGACGGTTTCTTGAATTGAGGGCTGTGGAGAAGAAGCAGATTTTCTCAATTTGCTACCCGATACAACGCGAAAAGACGCAAATGTTGCACATTGGGCTTAATAAGTCTAATAAAAGATAAGGGACTTCGTGAATCATGCCTAACTGACCGCGACCCAGTTATTTGCCACTGCAGGTAGGTACTAGGTAGGTAGATACTCATTTGTAAACAGAGCGTTCCGCCAACCCTCGCCAGAAATTCAATCAGCAGTTGCTTATCTTAAAACGTTTGAGTGCACCTAACAACCTTTAAAAATGACGTCCTCCCTTTCAATGGTTCGTTCGAAGACACAAAGCCAGAATCAGCCAAGCAATATCGGAATCCATTGCGCAGTGTGTCGACTGTCGGATGTGCCCATCCACATAGCATAGCACACACTGCTAAATGCAGGTACGCTCACCTACACATTAGGTATTCGAAGGACTTGATAGCTCATACACATGGAAGAAACGCATGAAATGTGATTAATAGCTGCAGCAGAAGTTTGGCGTCCGATGACTCTTCGCCAAGTTAAGACCATGCCAAAATCTCGGCCAGTCTCCCGCCGCGCCGGCACTGGCCGTGGTGTGACGTCATCCGGCCGGCTGGGCGCTGGGTAGTTCCACACTTAGGTAACTCGCGGCCGGGCCCAGTTCATATAGAAAGGCCAGTCGGCAAGTGTCACTTTGCCAAAGTGCCACTTATCAAAGGGACACTTTGGGAAACGTTGGTGCAGGTGTGTAAGAGTGGCTATATGAATCCATTGTGGGGTCGCCCTTTCCAATAAGTGTCACGTAACAGCAATGGGACCAGGGACTCTATATGAACTGGACCCAGGGTGCTCGCCAAGAAGACCAATGTCTCCATCCTATGATCCTTCCGGCTCTGAAATGGTCTTGTCAGACCAAAAGGACATAACCGAACAAAACAAACCATATTCGTCAGCTGGCTGCGTGGTGTAGTGGTTAGCGCACTAAACTCGCGATCGAATGACACTGGGTTCGAATCCCATCGCCGGCTGATGCTTTTGGCGTGTTGTCCCAGTAAACATGCCGACGTCGGCGACTGGGGGACTCGAATCCCGCCGCCGGTTGATATTTTTGGCGCGTTGTCCCAATAAACATGCCGACGTCGGCCCCGTCGGTCCAACGACAAACGATCTCGTCAACCTCGGCAAAC